AGCCAGAGTTAATCAAGAGACTATTCCTGCCTAGAAGAGTAAATGTTTAGGACGAAATGAGCAAAACTCTTGTGACATTGACAAAGCTTTTAGAAAAAGGTCAGAACATGCCAAAGTCTTCTCAGAACTGGCAGTAAAAATGTAGACCTTTCCTGTCATTTTCCACATCTTGCTATGAGGCGTGGGCAGTCATGTATTTAAAAAAGGTGCTCAAAATGACACCTTCCAGATTTCTAGTGACTTCCAGTGTACCATCACATTTACAGAGCAGGGATTGTGGAGCCAAACTGCCTCCATCTGTGTGTGGGTGCCACTGTTTACTAGCCGTGTGATGCCGGGCAAATCATTTCTCCTTTTGGAGCCTCGGTGAGCTCTTATGTAAAATGGGAGCACAGAGTATCAGTTCACAGCCTTGCAGAGAGAGGAATGAGCTTACTCATGTCAAGGACGTTACATTATAAGCATTTTCCTACATCATTAAAATTCTTCAAGTGAGCATTCCTTGTTGGTCATATAATATTCCATTGAATGGAAGACCTCTATTTTATTTAACCAGACTCTTTGATCTTTCAAGCCTGCTTCTCTGTGTCCAGAAAGAAATTGTTGCAGATTTATGCCAGCTGCCCCAAACACGATGTCAGGCTTTTACACATGCCTGCCCTGGGGGCCTCCGTTCTCAGAAAGACAGAACTGCTGTGTGACTAGAGACAGCAAGACTGCCTGCCCTGCATGTGTGTGGACTGCCTGCTGGAACCCCGCAGCCTCACCTGCCAGGGGAAGGAGGGAGTCTGGCACTTGAGTTGAATGAACGCACCCTTCTCAGGGCAACACAGCTGCTGGGAGAAGGTAGAGACCCCGGGAAAGAGAGGGTGCAGCAAAGGTGAGGAAGGCAAATGGCGGAGGGAGACGGGGAAACGCTGTGCCAGGGCAGCATCCCAGCAGGACTTCTTGGCTTTTGCCCCCAGTGCTCCCAGCACATCCCTGCCTACTTTCTGCTCCTATACATTTCCTTGGGCATGGCTGGCACAGAGCCATCCACATGAAACAGCAGAACAAAAACAAACTCTTCAGCAGATGCTGCAGCCCTAAGAAGCTCTTATATTCAAGACCCCAGACCTTGGCCTCAACTCAGCAAATGCGGGAGCCTGTGTACAGACGTGCAGGAGGACCAGAGCCCAATGCAAACAAAATGCTCCAGAAAGCATTTGCTTCAGATGGACTTTCTGGGCTCTCATAGGATGTGGCAGGCCAGCACAGAATGCAGCTGTCTGGCTCTCTTTAGGATAAAGATGACCAACGCTATGTGATAGAGGAACTGGAATGTTAATTTAAAAAAATTTTGTTTACCTACTTCTGGCACTGATAGACCTGTGAGTGTACTCACATTTTTTGGTCCTTTTTTTTTTTTTTAAATGTTTTATCTTTCTGGAAAAGAAATCTTTTTAGAATCTCACATGCCCACATTTTGACATAAATCAGAAAGCAGCAACTGTTGGGTTTTGCTGACAGGTCTTCATCTTGATTTGATTTCTCTCTGACTGGGGTGGGCAGAACGTTAGACGGAGTCATCATTTCTAATCTTGAATTTGTCACTTATTTGACGTGTGATTCTGAATGAATTATGTGTGCGATTATGAATAAATGGTTTAATTCTTCTGGATCTCAGTTTCCTCAAATGTAACATGAAGCAGTTGAATGATCCAACTGAGAAACCCAAGGCTGATATTTAAAATACTTACCAGCCAGAAGTGCTTGGGTCCCTCCAATCAGTACATACGTTGACCACAGTCCTGTGGTAGAGATCTGGGAGCTCCCTGCCCTGCCTAACATGAACCCTTTCGTTCTGTGCTCAGAGGGAGCTGGGGGGTGAATCTTAGGGAATAGGCCCCATGGCTCAGGCATCCTGCTGAGAGCTCAAGACAGCAACTATTTACTAATAATTATGTCCACAGTAGTATGAGTCACAACAGCCAAAAATGGAAACAAACCAAGTGTCCATCAAATGAAGAATGGCGAAAGAAAACGTGGCATATCCATATGAGGCGACATTATGCAACCATATAAGGGAATGACATTGTGATAAATTCTATAATATGGGAGAGCCTTAAAACTTTATGGTAAGTTTAAAAAGCTAGACACAAAAAAGACACATACTGTATGACTTTGTTTATATGAAACGTCCAGAACAGGAAAATCCATAGAGATTTGGATTACATAATACATAGAATGTACTTTCTAGTACATTCACCATTACCAGGGGCTGGGGAGGGGGCAGGGTGGGTGGGAGACAGTGGTGAAGAACTGCTAATGAGCATGAGATTTCTTTCTGGGATGACAAAAATGTTTTGAATTAGCCAGTGGCAGTGGTAGCACCAGTCTGTGAATGATCACTGAATCATACACATAACAAAGGGTCAATATCATGTTATGTGAATTACATCTCAATAAAAGTGTTCTTTAAAAAGGTATTATGAGATGCTATGCATGCATATATTTTAAACTTTAGTGACACACACAAGTACCCAAGATAACACAAAATGGCAAAATCAGCACCAGAAAAAAAATAAAGAATTTGACTTGACTAGTAAGTATTAAGAGATTAAAATAAGAGTTAAATCTCCCTTCTACCCCAGAAATCCAGGCCCAGATGGTTTTACAGGTAAGTTCTACCAAACTCTCAAGAAACAGTTAATTTTAATCTTAAATAAACTGTATCAGAAAACAGAAACAACAAAAAATTTGTCCTGTTTTTTCTATGAGATCAGTGTATTTTAATTAAAACTCAGATAAAAACAATATGAGCAGGAAATTATAGGCCCATTTCACTTATGAACATAAATGTGAAAATCAAAATAAAAGTTTTAGCTTACCAAATCAGATACTGAATTATTTTTTTAAATGCATCATGATTAAGTAGTTTATGAAAATGGTTTGACACCAAAAATTTTATCAATGTAATTTTCCCCGTTAATAGACTGAACAACAGAAAACACATGATATCTTAAGCTACCAGAAAAAGCAGTGATTCAAGTGTTATTTTTAAAACAATTGCTTAAATCCTAGAGTAGAAAAAGAGCCTTCTTGATTTAATAAAGGTTATCTATGCAAACATACAGCATGTGTTACACTGAATGAAGGAACTTCAGATGCTTTTCTCAGTTTGGGGGCAGAGAGGGGGGCTATTCCTGAAGAAACCCACTGTCCCCTGAGAACCACGGAGACCAGAGATCCCTGTGTCAAAGAAGTCACAGTTTTCCTGCCGTCCTTCCCCACTCTCTCATGCTTTGATCTTACAGGGGCGAAAAACCATGAATTCCCAAGACTGGGAGGGGGCCAAGACCGGGATCAGAGCTCAGGAACTCAAACTCCTAATCTTGGCCTCCACCTTGTTCCAAGCCCAGGCTGTGAACATGCAGAAGCCCAAACTGTGGATGATGTGTAAAGTCTAATTTTTCACTGGATGGAAAATATGAATTATTGAGCTGAGACTACTTTTATTACCTGAAAGAGACCACAAAAACTCCAGAGACTTGTCCTACATTTCATCCAGGAGCAGAGAAGAACTAGTCCCACACAATAAACTTAAAAAAATTAAAGGGCACAAATAGAAAGGCTTTGTCATTACAATCCACGTGCAGTGAGTATCAGAGATAATCATTACATTATTTGTCACCAGTCCTGGGGAGTTGATATTGTTATGAGAATAACATCAAACCCACAGAGGGGAAAACTCTTGCTTGTAGAGGTCAAGGGATTTGAACAGATTCACAGAGCTGCAATGTGGCAGAGCCTGGATTATGTCCTGCATTTCTGACTCTACACAGCATTTGTGAACACAGCATTTGAAGTATAGACTTGAGATAGTGTAAGATCTCCTGACCTACATCAGGATCTTCTCCACACAGAAGTTTCTACGTGAAATACCTGTTTCCTGGTGATCCTCCTGGGTTGGATCTCTTTTTAAATGACCCTAAACAAAACATTCCCATCCCAGTGTGCACCTCTTTCCCCCATCATTCTGTGCCTTATGATGATGGCACAAGACCTGCCACCAGCAGGAAGACAGGTCTCTCCCCATCAGCCTTCTGCTCCCACTTCACCCTGTAGCCACAGACACTAAGCCTCTTGTCTGGAGATCCATCAGCCCTGTGCAGACCCAGTGTAAAGATGCCCCAAACTCCAGAGGATACAAAGTGTAATTTCCAAGAACCACATTGAGGTCCTCTCTGGGCAAGGGATACAAAGGAGCTAGAGCCCTCCCACCCCTCCAAGTCCCTGTAGCAAGATGGGAGCAGCTCTAAGACACCTCCCTTTTATAAGTCCATGCTCCATCTCTGCTCTCTCCACTTGTTTATACTCTTGTTTTAATCTTGTATCCAGTCAACTTGCTGAACTATCTTATTGATTCTAATAGTTTTATTCTGTTGATTATATTGATTTTTCCAGAAATTTTTAAAAAAATGTTTATTCATTTATTTTTGGGAGAGAGAGAGAGAGCACGCGGATGCTCTCACAGTGCACATGAGCAAATGGGGGAGGGGCAGAGAGAGAGAGAGGGTAAGAGGGAAGCCCAAGCAGGCTTCACGCTGTCAGCACAAAGCCTGACATGGGGACTCGATCTCACAAACTGTGAGACCATGGTCTGAGCCAAAATCAAGAGTCGGAAGCTTAACCGACTGAGCCACCCAGGCACCTCAGTTTTTCCAGGAATTTCTATTGTTGTGTAAGCTACCAATAATTTTGACTGGTTCTCAACCTTAAAGGAACATCCAGGCAGTCTTTCTGCACCCAGGGCCCGCCTCACAGGCTGTACATAACCTCCGCAGTCACATAGGGCTCCAGACTTGGTTTAATGGTTTGTCATCGCCATCGTGAAATCAAAATAATTTTGGAACAAGGGGGTCCCCTGTCTAGAGGACAATGGGTGATGGTTATATAACAAAATCTACAACAGTCAAGAGTTAGCAAAGTATAATTTCTACTCAACGGCCTTGTCTTACCTGGCTATCAAAGTGTTCTTTTGTTGACATGACAGCGCTGTGTTGTCACTCTTCTTTCTATTAAAAGTTCTGTATAAAGAAGCTGTTTTATCTGTTAAAAAAAAAAAAAGTAATCAACTTAAGGATGTTTTAAGTGACTTGTGACTGAGCCTAATGCAGAGTGGAGCCATGAGAAATCGGTTGTCCTAATAGGTCAGCAATCAAGTCATTCCAATTTGGATTATTAGAAGAAAACAACCAAATAAAATAGCGAATATAAAAATCATTTTAGGAAACTATTGGCCAGATTCCCTTCTCGAGCCTGAAGACCTTGCTAACATTCGCCAAGGAATTCATTATTTTTCCTTTTTCTGGGAAGCAAATGGGCTCAACCAAGTATGGCTGCTGTCTCAGTCCTCAGAGCCACCACACTAAGGTCTGAGTGCTTTTTCCCTGACCAAGTTTATAAGATTCAATGAAAAGTCACTTCCAGTGCAAGAATTATGCTTGCTTCCTGCCTGGAGAGGCACCGACCCCTTAACTCAATGAGGTAATACAGTATGAAACCCAGGGGAAGGACTGAAAGTGTCAGAACACCCACCACTACCACCACCCATGGTGAACTGATTTCCAGGCCCAGCCTTGAGGCTTGGCTGTGGTGATGGGCCAGTCCCTCTTGGCCCCCACCTTGTCCTAAGGAACTGAGACAGCTGGGGGGTCCACAACTTGCTGCTTGATCAAGAAGTTGACCCCTCCAGTTTCTGGTGGAGGGCTAGAAGCTGGAGCATTGTCTCCAGTGAGTGCTGAGGGAAAACAGAAAACAAACAAAAACTCTGACCAGCTGACAAGACCAATTTAAGGTCTCTCCCAAAGAGGAGAGTGGTCTTTACACCTGGCATTTCTAGAATAAAAACCTTATCCCATTGAGTGGGCTTGAGAAAGGGCACATGCTTAGCCCAGAAACAAATACTCAGGGGACATGAAGGTATCGGGAGATCACACATGTCTGTGGCTTGCCAAGGGCAGGACCAGGGCAAGGGGTTGCCGTGGCAACAAATCAGCTTCTGTTGATTATAGGGAAAACTGTCTATCTGGAACCCACCTTAAGTCCGGCCATTCACATGGTACAACTTCAGAGGGCCTTGGGAGGCCTTTAAACCTTTTTTATTGAAACACAACAAATATTCAGAAAAATATTCCCATAATTGAACAGCTCTATGAAATTTTACACACTCCCCACACTTATGTAGTGACCACAGAGATTGCTACCAGCTCCCCAGAGAGCTCTTCCAGTCAATACCCCCTTTCCAAGGGTGACCATTATGCCAACTTCGAAGGGCATCCACTGTTTCACCTGTTTTGTACTTTATGTAAATGGAATCAGAAATCTGGGTCCTTTTTTGGGCCCAGCTTCTTTGGCTCATCATTGCATTTGTGCGATCCAGCCATGGTTGTGAATGATTCATTCTCATATGTGAATAAAGTATTATTTATATAACAAGTCTACTTGTTTGATGGGCATTTGGGTAGTTTCCGATTTGGGACTATTATAAAGAATGCTGAACATTCTGGTACATGCATTTTGCTGAGCATGTACATACTTATTCCTCTTCAGCAGGAATGGAATTACTGGCCCGGAGAGCATAGATTGTAGTAAATACTGCCACCAGCTTCCAAAATATTTGTATCAATTCACATTCCCTTCAATAGTGCAAGAGAGTAGCAAGGCTTTGTCACCCCTGAAATGTGTTCCCTGTTGGTCCCCTCAGAGACATCTGAGGTGTCGTCATTGGAGGTGACTTCCTGCAGGGAGAGCCCATGCCCTTACTGGTTATCTACACTGTGTGGGAGTTAGTGCTCATTCAGGAAGCTGAGAGACTTTGACAAGAGTCAAGATCAGGGCAGGAGAACCTTGTGCACTTTGTGGCTGGGAAAGTAGATTTGGGGACAGTAGAAACGCTGTGATCCTAAGGTTGTGTCCCTGGCTGTCGGGTCTGTGCCTGGCCTCAGCTGTGCCCATTGAGAACAACAGGTTTGGCACTTGTCTGGCAGAGACCTGGTCCCTCACATTCCCCTGGGAGGAAGAGAAAGCAGTGCTGGTGCCGCCGTGTCCCCCAGCGAAGAGTGGAGCCCCCTAGCTGTGCAGCCCCTCGGTTCTTTCTGCTTCTCTGGCCTGGTCCACAGCCTCATCATCCGTGCCCATCCCCATCACCCCCAGCCTCCTTTTCTACTTTTCTCCAAAACAGGAATTATTTTGCACATTTTCTTTCCAAGTCCAAAAATAGGAAAGAGAAGGGAACAGCTAATCTGGTCCAGCTGCTGGTTTTGCTACTTAACAAAGATTTTTTTTTTTTTTTACAGTAATTCTCTCTCTGGTTTTCCCTCACATCTGCACAACCTCCTGCTTCCCCTTCTCCCCTGACACCCCTTTTTGCAAAACTGCTCTGTCTAGAGTCCAGAAAATGTTTCTTCCTTAGCTTCCCATCATGTATCCACACAACCAAAGGGGGTCCTCCGCAGTAGTGCCGAGCCCCCCACGCTGGGATTTTTACCTCTTGCCATGTACACACTATGGGTGGATCATTGGCTGGTTTCAGTGAGTTTCAGCACATCTCACCCCAAGTCCTGGCCTTCTGGTATCACAATCTCACTTCTTGACAAGTTTGAAGGGTAGGCAGAGGTGATAAGAAGAACCTCCAAATAGGCAGCCTCAGTAGGCAGACCAGATGTAAAGTGAATTGCATTGCTTTGTGAATTACCACGTGCTAAACCAAATTCATGCATTCATTCATTTACCCAACCTGCATTTCCTGAGCGCCTAACTTATGGCAGGCTTGGTGCCAGATGCTGGGGTGGGTGCAGATATGTACTTGCCACATTGCTCACGCTGAGGAAATTCATGCTGAAGACTGGTAGTAAGGGGACTGTAGGACTCTTCTAATAGCAAAAGACACCACTGACAGCTATTGCAGGATAAGAGGCTCAAACTAGAACTATGCTATCCTGGACAAATTCAGACAAATGACACCCTATTAACAGGGTAGGCATTTTGCCCAGAGCTTAGGGCACTGGCTTTAACCAAGGTGGTTTCCAACTAGGTCACAGTGGAAATGGGGGCACTAACTCCCCTAGGGTTCCCAGGGACCCCTTTTCCAGTGTGGTTGCCAACTTGCAGCCAAATTGATAAGCAGAATGGAGTGGATTTCTGGTCCTAACAATGTCCCATCCCAGTTCCTTTAGCAGCCAGCACAGTCTTACCTTCTGTCCCCTCCTCAGGCTTCCCTCCATTGCAGATCTGTAGATGTGGGGCCACCCCTCAGGTTGCAGTCTCCACTGCCTGCTTGCTAAGTGATTTCATTGCCATCTACTGTGCCATCTCAAGTCAAATACAGAAATTTGGAGAAGGTCATAGATATAATCCTTGTCCCCAGATTCTGCATGGGTCTAAGATTTTAAGATATCATATTAGGGTGCTTGGGTGGTTCAGTCGGTTAAGGGTCCAAATCTTGGCTCAGGTCATGATCTCACACACAGATCATGAGATGGAGCCCGTGTCAGGATCTGAGGTCTCAGCATGGAGCCTGTTTGGAATTTTCTCTCTCCCTCTCTCTCTGCCCTTCCCCCCGCTCACTCATGCTTGATATCTCTTTCTCTCTCTCTCTCAAAATAAATAAATAAACATTTTTTAAATGCCGTAATTTGTCTGAGTATGTGGACCTTTTTCCAATATAATTTCTGAAATTTCATTTAACAGGGAGTTGTAAGTCATGCTTGGCTAACCAGTCTTGAGAAGGAGGCACTGTTTCCAGATCCAGGTTACATTTCCTTAGAAAACTTATGGGAAGGGATTTTATTTAACAGCATAGAGACAGACAATCTCATTTTTGGCTGAAGAAAATCTAGGGGACAGGATTTTTCACATTCTTACCAGAGAGACCCCCTATGAAGCTCTCAGTTTTTCCCCCTAGGTTTCTGCTCCAGGACTGAGAGGAGAGAGAAACTCAGAAATAAAAGGAAGTTGAATCCAAGGGGAATTACTAAGGCAGCAAGTATTGAAAGAAGGCAATATGCCTTATCTATTTGGGTATCTCTAACTGACAACATCATGAGCACTCAGTATAAATATGTGTCTAATGAATTCATGAATGGATGAGTGAATGAATGAAAAAATTAGACAACTGTGCTTGGAATTGGAGAAGTAACAAGAACAAATCCCTAAAAAGTCTATTATGAATGACATCACTAAAGCAAATGGGGGACAAAAGTGAGTGCCATGGTTCCTGAGGCTGGTCATTGGCTTGGGGGCCTCCACATGTCTCTACAAACTAGTGGGGCTGGTCAGGGAGGCATGTTGGTGCTGGAATGTGGGTTCAGGACTCTTTGTAGCATATAAGCCAGAGATTCTGAGAAGCTTTCATAGAGGCAGCTATTTTCTTTGCCTGCCCATCATCCACTCCCCTTTCTATTGCTAGATTATCAATTGTCCTTTGGTGGATCCACCTCTTATTTAATCTCAATCCATGTGGTTCAGGTGGGATTTACCACACTTCCCAGATCCAGTGATGACCACATGACTTTAATATGTCTAAAGTTATGATTGATTTAGAGATAGGGCCATGACACAGTCTGGCTCAATAAGGGTCAGTCCCAGTACTTTTGCTGGAACTATTGGGAAACAGGCATGGCTGTTCTGCTATGGTTGCTAATCTGGGAGATGTCAGATGGTAAATATGCTGGCCGCCATATTAGCCACTAAGTGGGAATAGCCTGACATAAGCTAAAAAGTTATTTTTCTGTGTTAAGTTTAGGTTGATTTTTCTGTCTCTTGTAGCTGAGACAGGGCTTTGTTTCTGTGCTCTGAGGCCCTAAAACCACCTGTGGGGGGTCCTCTGGCCCTTGGTCAAGCATTTTTGCCAACTTTCTGTTGTCCATGCTGGGTGATGAGCTAGGAGGCACCTAGTTTGTGAGTTTGGGACCACAGCATTTTCATCAAGCCTGTCCCCTTGTGTTTAGGCTTCCTGAAAGGTTCCAGCTGAGCCTCTTTTGGACTAGAAGATTATCCCTGTGGACAATGCATCAGCATTCTGAGAATGCAGCACACTTTCCATGGTGGGGCTGAATTTCCAGCTTGGTCTCAGCTATTCCAAGGGTCAGTGGCTGGGCTGTATTGCCATGGGGACCCTTGAGGTTCTATCTTCATGCCTGAACAGCTGGCTTAGACCAGGGCTGCTTAAAGCGCCCATCCACAGACTAGTTGTTACTGGTCTATGATGAGATAAGTCACTTGTATCAGAATGTATATCAATGTACTGCTTACTTCATAAGGAAAGTCTTACTACAAAAAACCCCAAAAACCCAAAAGCTAAAAACCAAAAAAATAAACCCTTAAAAATATGATTGTTTCACAATATGATTGTACAACCTTCTTGAGGACCAGTAATAAAAGAATTAGTGAATCGACAGTGGTCTGCAGACCATGCTTTGAGTATCACCTGCCTAGATAGCCCTCACTTCCCGCATTCACACAGGAGAATTGGTCTTGACCACAGTCACTTTCATAGATGTGATCCCCATGAGAGGGAAGCCTTGCCATCTTGTGAGAATGATGGATCTGCTATGATTCTCAACCTTGGTTGCACACTGGGATCTTCTGGGAAGCTCAAAAGATGGATTCCATGTCCCAGACATTTTGATTTGATTGGGCCAGGGAGTGGTCTGAGCATTTGGGATTTTTAGAACTTCTTCAGGTAACTCTCATGTGCAACCAAGGTTGAGAACCACTGCTACAGTTCTAGGTAAGTGGTTGTTCAATGTTAAATGTGTATAGAAATCATTTGGAGAGCTTCTGTGAAATATATTCCTGAACACCAATGCCAAAGACTGATACAGTAGGATCCTGGGAATTGTTCTTTTTTAACAATTCCTTAGTAGCCCAGGAAATTTGATGTAGGTGGTCCATGGACCATGACACCTTGAATAGCAATATTTTGGATTATTGTCTGGATAGGTAAGATCAAGGTAGGCTGGAATAAGCAAAGATTCGAAATGAGTTTTCAATTGTTGAAATCTTGAAGCCTTGCCAGGTGAATTTGTTTCCTTTACTTTTCTGAGGATCTCAGCTATGTGGGACTGTCATAGCAGAGGAATGGAGAGCTATTAATAGCGTCTAATGAAATCCAGGAATCAGTGGGCAACCTTAATTGTCTTGGAGCTTATCAATCACTATATTATTAATGTCATTAATATACTGTCTTATTTCACGTGAATGTCCCTGCCTTGAAGCTCGCAAACCACCTTTCTCTGCTATAGCCTAAAAGGAAATGCTATAACAAGACGTCCAAGACAGCCTAGGCCAGGCTTAGGAGTGGCCAGGTCCAATGAGTAAATCACAATGGCACTGTGATAGCTCAGGCTTCTACCATCAGCTTCTGTACTTGGTGGAAGTATTTTACCTGTTGAAAGCCTTTATAATGGCAACAAGGGGAAAGAGATCTTTTATCAGGATGAGGTTATACATCCATTCAAAAGTTCACATCATGAGCCAGGTTTTGCTCAGTTGGTTCAAGAAGTTAAAAATCAGAAGGAAAGAGCAATCAATCTCAATGGTAAAACACACTGAAGTCAAGGTGATCTTCAAACAGGAAGCACCCACATCCCCCCCCCACCTCCTTCTTATTGATGGACAGCCCCTAGGTCCAGGTAACGCACCTCCAAATTGAGGCCTAGAATGAAGATATTGTTAATGTTTAGAAGGACATAGGCTCTGAGGACCAGTTCTATGGGGGGAAGTCCTATTAATGAACAGTGAACCACTCCTCCTGGTCTAAACATCTAAAGTCTGAATACTTGTTCAGGATTCTCTGAGCAGGAAAAATTGGAAGGTATCAACAAAAGATCTTTTCAGTGATTTCTGAAATGAGTTTTTAATGATCTGGAGATCCTAAATCAACTAAAACTTACTTTAGTGGAGTTAAATTAAATGTACAATTTTCCTCTGTGGGGAGACTTCTTCCTCCTGAAAGCTGGATATGTATAATTTGGAAGATCTAATTATTCTGATTTCCCTTGCATATATTCTGATTACCCAGGACAAACTCATTTTACATCTATTGTCCTTGTATAATAATTAAGATTGTTGGGGCGCCTGGGTGGCTCAGTCGGTTAAGTGTCTGACTTCAGCTCAGGTCACGATCTCGCGGTCCTCGAGTTCGAGCCCCGCGTCGGGCTCTGGGCTGATGGCTCAGAGCCTGGAGCCTGTTTCAGATTCTGTGTCTCCCTCTCTCTGACCCTCCCCCGTTCATGCTCTGTCTCTCTCTGTCTCAAAAATAAATAAACGTTAAAAAAAATACATTATTATAAAAAAAAAAAGATTGTTTCCTTTCAATCACAAGAGTCCCAGTTTGGGTGACAAAATGTATAGAGATTTTTTGTTTTAATTTGTAGGTCAATGAATATAAGTTTTGTCTTTTTTTTTTTAAGTTTGTATTTTTTGAAGTGAGAAGTCAGGTTAGGAAATTGAAGTGGGAAAGATATTTGTTTAAAAACAACTATTGCAACATTTGCAAAGTGATCTAAGATGGATTCAGTAGGAATCCAACAATAATTTTTAAAAATCTCTCAGGCAGTTAAGACTTTTTGATGGAAATTGTTGACTCTTCTCTGCCTCAATGCCCTTTCACTTGAGGAATCCACACTTGTTAAAGGCCATCAGATAAAATTGTAGCTGGATTTAAAAAGGAAAAAAACAATTATTTTTTGAGTCTTACCATGAGCATCTACTCCGCTACCTAAGACAAAATAGCAGAGAATCAAATCCCTTCTTCCAAGGACGATCCTCAGGAAATGAGATATAAACAAAATGTTCTGCCATGAAACTAATGTCCCTTGAGCAGTACTTAATCCAAAAAAAAAAAAAAAAAGCAGAAGAAAAAGAAGAAGAAGAAGAAGAAGAAAAAGAAAGAAAGAAAGAAAGAAAGAAAGAAAGAAAGAAAGAAAGAAAATGTGTATGTCTTTAGCACTGAGTGGATAGACCAACAGAATTGCCAGTACCTGCCACCCAGCCTCATGTCTCTTTCTGGGTCATCCCTAGGCTCAGTTTCAAGCTCATTTCTAGGTCAACCACATTCATTGTAGGGAATAAAGACTATGTCAGCAGCTTTTATATCAGTAGAGCCTTAAACTTCTCTCCTCTGGTGTTCCAGGTGTTCCTGAGAGGTGTGGAAATGTGGCTAGTCCATCACATCATCATTATCAACATGGCTACCACTTATATGAGTGTACATTACATAAGAAGAACTGTTTCAAATGCTCTACATGAAGCAACTCACTCATTCTTAACATCCTTATAAGGAGGTACTATTGTAATCTGCCTGTGGCAGATGAAACTGAGGCACAGATAAGTAAGGTGACTTGCCTAAGTTCCCACAAATAGTAAGATGTGGAGT